GTGTGTGTGTGTGTGTATGCAACTAGAATGCTGTTCCTGGCTGAACAATGAGGTTGGATAAGGTCGGTCATGGCCTCTCCAATGAGTGATAGTGTGTCTATCCCTGTCCAGCGCTGTATTGTAGATGTTACGAGTGTAGCTCAGCAGTATATTTAAAATGCCATGCTTTTGCAAAGGCACGCTCTTTGCCCATCCACTGCTCTCTCAGTGACCCCTTAATCTCATGTTCGAGTTGTTGGCAAGTGTTGTATTTTAATCATGCTGGTAATATATCTCATAAGCGACGCTGCCGGGAATTGCACAAGTAAGGTGATACTCGCGATGGGACTTTACAGTTGAATATGCCGATACATACCACAAGTAGCCCTTGACAGATTTACACACACGCCCACACGTACCACCGCATTGGGGAACATAATGTAATGATAGTTACATTTGTACGTTTAATAATCTAATCGTTGTATTATACGTGCAGGAAGAAGAGCACGCCCCATGCCAGGGTGCGGAAAGAGTCGACTCCAGCGGTGACACCCGCGAGCACTAGTGCGGGTATGCGAGTGTTGATTGCAGGCGTGTACTGCTTATGTACTACTGGCTTATCCCTACCTACCTTAGCGCGGTGTGCACTGAGCTGACTGGGAGAGTGTTGTGTGTGCTGTGCTTTGTCACTGAGTGGTGTGCTGGCATTGCGCTTGTAGGCATATACCACAGTTGAACATTGTCTGCGAACACACTATACTATTCAACTGGTGTGGGAACATATATCAAGACGCACACTGGTAAGATAAATATCACCTACTTTAGTACCTCGATAGTGTGTCATAAGGCTATGCGACTTATGCCATAAGTGTACATGCCTTGAAACACTATATTCTAACAATTCCACACACACGCGCATACACACACACATACACTCACACACTCACACACTCTCACACACAGCGCATGTTCACTTCGCTCGTTTACCACCCAGTAGTCTATATCAATGAAGGCACTTCTACTTCTAACAAACCCGTACCCTCCACAGCAGATAAAGCGAGTACGGGTACTGGTACACTCGAACGCACACACAGTGCTGTGTCCCTGGACAGTGTGTCTGGTGACAAGACCACGCGTAAGGGCTCTTCGGGTGTCTTCCTGCGGAGCACCAAGATGTTTGTGCCACACCCGGCGTCTGCCAGTATGAAGAAGCTGCACAGTATGTCAACCCGGTAGACTTGGCACGGTAGAATTAGTACGGTAGACTTAGCACAGTAGACTCAGCACGGTAGACATAGAACATATCCCATCAACAGCCATAGTCGTTGTAACTCTGGGCATGGAATGGCTAGGTGGTGTGTGCGTACGTGTCTTCACTGCTCAGTGGGCGTAGTCTCATGGGCAGTGCTGTGGCTACTACACTGTATGCGTATACATATCCTACATAGTGTGCGTTCATTTGCCTGGACACACTCAACTCTATATGCAACCTTGAGTTTCTGATGTATTGTATGGATGCCTTAAGTTTCCTGTGTATTGTATGGATACTCAAATTCAAAGCGTGGGACTAATACTGGGCTCAGTATATATCACGGCATCTGGGGCGACTCGCTACTTACATGCAATGTTTTGAAACACATATAAAAGCACATGCAGAAGCACATGCAGAAGCACACGCCAGAAAATTGATACATGTATGCTTGAATCATATGGCTGTGTATTCCTATTGATTGCAGTTTAACGATTGATTTTTATACCAGCTACATACGACGAATTGGGAGTCAATCTCGAGCTGCTCTCGCCGTTTGCTTCGGTATTCACGAGTACAGAGAAACTTCGTGCTCAGGTTTTGGAACTCATCGGTATGTCTGATCAACGTGCCTGTGCCTATAGCGATAAAGTGAGCTGTATATGAACGTATGACACACACACACACGCGCATATATATATATATATATATATATCTGATAATCTCTCACTGGAGTGCACAAGTTAAACTT